GGTAAGTGTCATTAAGGTTGTGAGCAGTATCTGGGGTAAGTGTCATTAAGGAATTTTTACAGCTGTTACAAGAAAGATTCTTTGTGTGCCTTGTGGTTTTTCACACGCTAATATAAATGACTGAACTTTATTCTGCAAGGTTTCTGTTCTGCAAAATGCTAACACACAGTAGTTACTAGGCAATGAAAGAGAAGTTGCTAATGAAAAAGGTTACATGGTTGATGAAAACAACACATCCCCTGTCTCAGTTGCTGGGAAGTACTTTCTATTATCCCCAGAGCAAATAGTTGGAAACTATTACATGTTTCACTATAATTACATTCTCTTGGATAAAAACATTGAGCCCTCCTGAGAAGATGAGTTTTCATTGATCATGCATACCAGCCTAGATCATACATACCAGCCAGAAAATGATGACACATGGTAATAGTGCCCTAAATACTGTGTGTCTGTCAGGATGTGAAGACTTGGAAGTTACTTGATTCAAGCAATTTCCCTGTACGTGAGATTATATAATATCAGGCTATTTACTGGCATTTTGTTGCCCTTACTTTAACTGCTTCATTTGCTGCAATCAGAAGACCTGAAGTGGTTGGTTAGTGACTTTGAAGAGTCCAACCTGCCAGGTGCCTTTAGTGACATAGCAGAGAACCGTTGTTATTCTGGATTTTGGTGATGGGCAGCTTGGACAGAGGTGAGACAGGAGGGCAACTCCATTTCTTCTCTGAAGCATTCTCAGCATTTGACCATCATCAGCAGGGCCAGCTGACACAAATCTCACAGCAGCCAGTCCCCAGATATCATGGGCAGACGAGCTGTGGCACTGAGTCCCTGAGGGGACCATAGTTGTTGCAGAAACATGACTTGCCTGATCACTGTGGGGACATTTGGCTACCTGTAGGGTTTTGCTGCTCTCCACTTTGGCTATATTGAGTTGCTAGAAAGTCTTTTATTATGTTTTGAGCAGATGAGCACAGTTCATTTCATTTCATTCATCTTTTTAATGCAGCATATGCTATGGTAATTGTTGGGTAATTGTTAGGGTTCTATTTTTACTCTCAATGGACCATCTCCTTAGCTGAAAGAGGTTTTCTTTTCCCCAGATCATGTCCAGTCTCACCTGTGGTATCCTCATAGCTGGGTCTGGCTAACAGCCACTGAGATCTTTGGCTTGTTGTTTGCATCTTATAAGCCAGAAGATCTTGTCAACAAATGGAAGGAAAGGAAGTCAGGGAAGAGAAAAAAGACACCAGCAGAGCTGTCTGCATCCATAGTCTTCTTGACTGCTGAACTGGACAAAAAGGTAATGATGTCTGTACCACTCCTTCATACTGTTCACTCTGCTCATGCCTATTCCCTGATTCGGACATAAAAACAGTTCATACTTTGGCATGCACGCTCCTCTTTTAGTCACTTGTCTGCTGTCTAATCCTCATCACCGAAAGCATTTGAGGAGGTGTCTCTGCTGCTCGGAGGGGGTTTCTCTAGGGTCTTACTCTCAGCAGCACAAAAATACGCTTTTATATTGTAAGATGGAGGCAGAAGTTGTGTGGAGCTGATCCTTTGGTCTCCCCTGGGAGCTGCCTTTGGTGACTACAAAATACTGCTTTGAGTCTCTGCTACCAGCTCTCTTCAATGGAGTCATTCCTTTCTCCTTTTTCATTTCCCCAGATGAAGGATCTTGCGTTTGCATTCTGCCATCAGCTGCAGTCCAAGTTCCTGGACATGTCTCTCAGTGAGCAGGTAAGGCAGGAGCCTGTCTGGGGCTGCAGGAGGGGACAGAGCAGGCCCTGGCACGTGAGGGATATTGTGTTCTAGTCAGGACAGCACTGCTACTGTCTGGTGTTGGCTCAGGGCAGATACACAGTTTGGGGCTAGCTGCTCTCTGCTCAGGTTTTCTGAGCAGCTGTGAGCCTCTTGGGGGCCCAGAAAGTCACCAGTGTGGTGTCAGCCTACTGGGGAGTGCCAGGGACAGAAAAGGGGAACACTATGCAGGTCAGGACTGGGGTCTCTGCCATTGCAGACTTCTAGGTTGGCAAGTTCCTCTGTCAGATCAAGTCTTGGCTCTTACATGGTGCTTACAGAGGTAACCCACAGTGACTGACTCCGTTTCCACACTTCAGGTTATAAAGAATTTACTTTTTGTGGCCAAAGTTATTTACTTGCTAGCCCCTGCCTCAGAAGAAGGTAAAGAGGCAGATGGAGAACTCAGGTGTGAAGTGGAAGAGCAGGAAGTCTCAGAGGATGAGAGAGATACTTCTGCTCAAGGAGAGGAAGAAAGGGAGGACACACAAGAGAAAGGCCAGCCAGCCACACTGCTGTGGCTAATGAAGAAGCTCTCTGTCATGGTGAAGAGAGAAGCAGCATATTCCCCTAAGGTCCCTCTAAAGGTAAGAACAGTGTTAGTCCCACTGCTTTTGATGAGGTTGGCACTTCTGCAGGGTACTGTTGCTCTGGCTCTTTGCTTTCAGGGGACGAGGTGCAGAGGGTGCTGTGGGCTGGGACAAAGGTACAAAGGGTGCTGTGAGCTGGCACTGAAGCAAGGGTTAGTAGGTGCTGAAGAAACAAGCCTTTCATTTTGGGGTTTTCAGGAAAAGGCTTGTGCCAGTCTGGTTCTTGCTGATGGCCTTGAAACAGCAGTTTGTGACTCAGGTGTCTAAAACAACACCTGTTTGTTGAACTATGATGCATGGCCCTCTGGTAGCAGTTCAGTTAGGAAGTTTCCTTCCAGCTTTCCTTACTTCATGTCCCACACGCTTCTTTTCAGAGAAGCTGCATCTTTAAGTTCCTGGGAGCAATCTCGGTGGATCTAGGGCAAGACAGGATCAAGCCCTACCTTCCAACAATTCTCACCCCTCTGTACAGGGAGCTGAACAGCAACTATGCAGAGCAAGGTAAGGGATTTCCCTCACAAAGAGCAATGTGCATCACAGCTATGCTTCAGTTCAAACACCACCTGCCATTCCTTTTGTCTGTTGAGGCACTCATATTTTAGTCAGTGAATTTCACTGCTTACTGTCTAACCAAAATACCAGGAAGGGAGGAGAGTGCATGTCAGCTGAAATAGAAACCTGCATGTTCAGAGACTGGAATGAAGTTAAGCATGCTCCTGTGTCCAAGCAGGTAAAGCTTGAGCATGTGGTGTAGCAGGAAAAATGTACTCAAGGATGGGCTCAAGGTGGCAAGACTTACAGAATCCTTGCTGAGAGGAACTTGTAAAAACCATTTGAGAGACAGAGGGAAATATTTGCCCTGCTCTGTTTTCCCTTAGCACCCCTTTGGAGGGTTTTTTTCACCCCCAGTATCTTTTTTTCCTCCAATGATTGTAATTAATATATTGCCACTAACTAGTGATTCCAACAATTAAGCCAGCCCTTGTTTTGCTTATCAAGGATGCTGACTGACAAGGCTGGAATCATCTTTATTTCCAACAAAGCCTATTTCACCAGAAGCCTAGTGGCTATATACAGAAAGCCACTTGTCATTACCTTTGGGATGACTTTACCTTCTAAAAAAATTGCTTCTCAGAAGCATTTTTGTTTGTTTGTTTGCTGGTTGAAAAGCCACTCTCTAGGAAAGCTGGTGAAGCTCCAGGAGATTTCACAGGTGCTAGTCTGGGCAAGGTTTATCAGTGCAGCTGTTCTTTATTAAAGGCAGAGGAATCCATACTGTGCTCCTGGCTTTCGTTCCATATGCTGAAAAGATTAAGTCGATTTTGTTTTAATAGATCCAACACTGAAGAACCTTTCCCAAGAAATCATAGAACTTCTCAAGAAGTTAGTGGGGCTGGAAGCCTTTTCGCTGGCCTTTTCTTCTGTGCAGAAACAGGCCAACCAGAAAAGAGCAATGAGGAAAAAGCAGAGGGCTTTGCAGGTAAGATTCCACTTTCTCTTGAGAGTAAAAGAAATAGGGCTTCTCTAAAGGCTTGATATCTGCCCAGGAAGGGGAGAAAGAACTTAATCCTTAATTACGACAGTTTTACCAGTCTCTTTACAAAACTTGCAAGAAGTTACTTGTGTGTGATCAGCCTCTTGTGCAGGTTCTGGCTGACAGGAATGGTTTCCTGCTTACCTGAAGGGCAAAGCAGCCTAAATTCCCTCCGTTTTATGGAACCTAGCAATGCCCATGCATTGTCTTAGCAGACACCAGTTTCTTAGGACATTCATGATGTTCACAGGGACTGCTGTTAGTTGTCAGTGAACTAACAGTGTACTGTTTTTCCTTAGACTGTAGCAAATCCTGACATTGCTGCAAGGAGGAAGCTGAAGAGACACAAGAATAAAGCGGAAACCAGGAAGAGAAAAATGGAATCCCTGCGCCCTACGTACAAGGCCAAGCGACATCGAAGTCATGCACTGAAAGATTTAGCAATGGTGGAATGAAAAGGCTTTTCATTCCTGGAGGATTAATTTATAAAAATTAATACCAAGCTAAAGAACTAATTACTGCTTTAAAAAGTACTTGCATATATTTATTAGTATTTTTTTATGTTCTTTTTCATTGAGGATCTTAAATAAAGACTTTAAATTTTTTCCAAACCTGTATATTTACTGGAGCATGTACAGTTGAAAGGGTAACAACTATGATATTTGTATTAAATTTTACTTAATTTGTAAGAAATGGGTTCTGTGATGACTGCATTCCTGCCTGTGAACACACTGGTCCAGGAGAGATGAGAGTGCAGGAACAACAGCTCATGAAGGTGGAAGTTAAACTCAAGTTACTCCCCTGGCACATCAGGGCAGTAGTGTGTGCTGAGGACACTGATTTTCCTTTCAGACACCCACTGAATGCTATGTTGGCAGCCAAAGGTGTGCTACTTGTGCTCTCTTGCTGTACTTCACTCTAACACTGTGTCTTGCACTGAAGGGTCATGAAGTAGAACAATACCAGCTTAAGGGAACTTCTGCAGGTGTTTAGCTACATGGCTGCTGGAACTGGCAGCACTTGGACTTGTTTATGTAAAGCAAGCAGCCTCTAGCAAGCAACACACCCCTGGGTATAGCTGACAGTTCCAGATTTTATTAGTGTTCTATCTACACCAGTATGCTGGCCACCAAAACGACCAAAGGAAGGGGGGATGACAAAAAAAACCAACTTTCTCAGCCAGTAAGACTTTCATACAAATTAACATAAGTACATTCTTTAAACAAAAAGAAAGAAATGCAGTATCACAATGTACGCATTCACTTATTTCAGTTTTACAATTGAAGAGAGGCATCCACATTACAGAAGTCAAATTCAAATCTGTCCTATTTACAAGTATCTGTGGCCTGAAAATACTTAACTGCAGAAAGGAGGATGCTGGCTATAGCTGATGCTTCTTTGCACTGGTCAGTTTTGTATCACTGCCTGCTCTTCAAGGCCTCCACCAACCTAGGAAAAAGGTTAAGTCAATTTACTGAAAAGTCATTTCAATTCTGCTGAAATACTTGAAGCAGAAAACCAGTCATTCTTCTAATATGGACTCTTATGTCAAACTATCTACAAATCCAGTCTTACAAAAAATCCTCCAATGTGTAAAATTAGGCATATGAATGAAGCATAATTAGACTGGTACTCACCATTCCATTGCTTCATCAAGCCCTGTGCCTTTAGTTGCAGAGGTCTTGAATATCTGCCATTTTCGGTCCTTCAAAGCTGGTAAGCCAAGGGCATTTGCCATTTCTGTGGGAGTCATGGCCTGTTCCATGTCCTGTTTATTTGCAAACACCACCAAAATGGCTTTCTTCAGCTCTTCTTCCTAAAAAAAAAAGGGAATTGTGGAAGCTGTTGCAGAGACTTCTACAGAATTTATTTAAAGAGAGAAAAATCTATGTAATAAAAAAGATCTTCAGCAGTTTTCAGTTATTTTTTTGCTGACTTCTGTTCTGCAGAAAATTCTTCAGTGAAAGAACGGTGTTTATTTTCAATTCCAGTATGATACCCTACAGGAGCAGTTTCAAAACATGGCCAGTCCAAGTCATGAAACAATCTGGTAGTTGGATTTAACAAGGCACATTAAATGAGCTTGCAGGTATGTTGGGGGACAAGGCAAGAGAGAGAAAGGAAGTGTTGCTCAACTCATCTTACTTACATTACCTTGTTCAACATTGGTTCTTCAACTTGAAAACACAGTAGAATTCTAATTACTGTCAATCCTTCAGGGTTTGATTTTGCCACACTGCAGTACTGAGCACCAGTCCTGGCTGGCAGGTAAATTTTCATGTGACCACAAAGCTACATGAAAAAACTGTCCAGATAATGCTGCACAAACCCATGAAATACCTGCAGAGTATTCAGTGCTTTTTCAGTCAGAAGTGCTGCACAGGCTATGCTGAGGGCTGAAGTTTCACAAGTGAAGTTGAGCTTCACTTGGTTCACTGAATCAAATTTCATATTTACTCAAAAAAAAAAAAAGTTCTAATTTCTCAATTTATTTTATTGATAATGACTGTGATCCTTGTTTTCTTACCTCTAACATAGCAACAAGCTCTGATTTTGAAGTGCCAATTCTGTCTCGATCACAGCTGTCCACTACATAAATGACGGCGTCTGTGTTTGAATAGTAACACCGCCAGTAGGGCCTGCAGAGGAGAGAGACGTTCCAGTCATGTCATTTGCATGTTAGCAGTTCTTTTTAGCTAGATAATTATAGACAGAGGAAGTAAAGATTGTCTCTGGGGTGAAAGGCCCCAGGAGGCAATCAGAAGATTTCTTCAAGAGGCTACAAAAATGAACAGAGAGTACAAATACTCTCCGAGGCAGAACGAAAAAAAAAACCCAAAAAACCCCAACCCAACACAAAGCAAATACAGAAGCAACCTGAAAACAGGGGAAGAACAGAAATGCTGGGAATCAGACTTGATTTTTTTTGGGAAAAAAATTTGAATGAATTTATTTGGGAATCAGACTACAGGACATCAGGTCCATAACCGAGGGACAGAAAAGCAAGGAATGTTTAAAGACATAAGCATCCTCATTACAGTCACCAAAGAAGTATCACCAGAGAAATCTTAAATGACTAATTAATACAGGTAAGTAATTAACAAAGATCAAAACAAACCACCTTTTTTAGAATTACTGTACTGAAACTAAAAAGGAAGGAACCTTTATCTCACTAATTGCACCTTCCTTACTAACTAACTACACTGCACCTTGCTACTGAGCACTGGAAAAGGAATCACAAGAGGATCATACAGGGGTACTCTTAATGACTCTTTACAAAACTTGTGATGCTTGCTAAAAAATTACTGTCTATACCTAAATCCAACTTGACTATTCTGAAGAATGCAAAGCTAGGCAGTATATTTTTGGGGTTTTAATCACCCCCTCCACTCTTTCTCAGAATGCTACTCAATTGCCTACTATACTAATGATTTGTTTTTCAAAGCAAAGCCAAATGCAAATGAAAACACTGTCTTGTTTTTTCTCAATCTGTAGACTTCCAGTTCCTGCATCACAGATTTTACAAACTGAAATCCATCAGATGAAAATACTCTCCCGAGAATGGTTTTTTTTAAAAACTTAATCAATTTTCAGAAGTGCCTGCTGTGAGAATTCCAATGCCTGCTATGAGAATTCCAAGAACTTGGCACTTTTTAGAGAAAGTTCATTGACTTTAAGAAATCTATTACCTTATGCTTGTCTGTCCTCCTAAGTCCCAGACTTGAAATTTCAGATTCTTGTAGGTCACTGTCTCAACATTGAAGCCAATGGCTGAAACAAAGTTATAACAATTTCACTGTTGGTGATTTTCTTGTTTTTCTAAAGAATATGTCAGCACTCAGTTCAAGATTTTTCAGACCAGAAAATTCTCAGTAGCTGCATAGCTAAAGCTACCCCAACAAACATGACTCAAAATAATGGAGAAATATTTCTTTTGAACTAATAAAACCACACTGTAAACATATTGTAGAGATTTGTAACAAATGCTAAGGTTGTTAAAAATTGACAGTAGTGTCTGAAATCACCAAAAGAAACAAAGCAAGGGCTAAAGAACTGGCCCGCTGTGATAACTAAGTACATAAGTGACAGCAAGAGAGCACTAAGGAATGTGTCCTTCTGTCCACATAAGGTCTGCACTCTTTTAAGAGCCACAGCTCTTAAAACACCAACTTCTCAGGAGAGGACTCAATACTGCTGTCTGGAAGATGGCAGCAATGCTGCAGTTATCACAGACGTCATTCCTTTTCCTGCCAGCCCAGAGAAACACAGCACAGGGAAGTGAACAGCAGGCACAGTCTGCTTAAAATTTATGGAGGCTGAAGTAAGCAAAACCCTCAGGCAAAAAGATTATGGCCCAGCAAACTGTTGGCTTCTAAAAGATAATAGAGGGAATAGAGGAACACAACAGACATGGCAGGGACATAAAAACGTCAAACATCCCTTCTACTTCATGTTACACAGAGCAATCATGGCCAGAACACTTGAGCACACACACTGGGTGGGTGTGGCTGCATGAATGCCAAGAGAAATGGTGAAATCAGTTGCATTTTTTTAAATAAACATCATCTTCTCCCTTGAAACCTCACATTGAGTTTTGTTACATTTTCTACAGAATGCTGACCTATCATGAACAGCCTGTGAAACCATGCTAATAATCTTGAGGTCAAATGCTTTTTGCATTTTGCAGGGCAGCATAAAATACTCTTTTGTAATACTTTTATCCAAGAAGATACAACAGTGTAAGGCTCCCACAACATAAGGTCCTTTTGTTTAGGAAGGAAGCATATAGTGTTCAGCTGGCAAAGTTTATGTGTCAGAGCTACAGACAAATCACAGGCCACAGGCAAATATTCTCCCTATGGGCAGATCACTTACTTGGAATGGTGGTAACAACTTCTCCAACTTGCAACCTGTAGAGAATGGTTGTTTTTCCTGCTCCATCCAGCCCCAAGATGAGAATCCTCATCTCTCGAGTTCCAAACAAACTGGAAAAGATGGTGGAGAAAAAGCCCCCTACAAAAACCAGAAGAGAGACATTTCAATGTCAGCCAGCTCTGTGGAGGATATGCAAAGGCAGACAGACCAACCTCCTTTCTTACTGGCCTACAAGTCGTTTGTTTCCTCCAGTGAAAAAAAGATAAGTCCAGGTTGTTGCCCAGATGTCCTCCTGGTTCATACTGCCGTTTTATGGTTTTATGGTAGCTCACTCCAGCAAATCACATTGCAGCAGCACCAAGCTTTCTCACTGCAGTTACAATTTTATTTTTTCCTTTTCTCTCATTTGCCAAAATCTGAGTCATCTTTTTGGCTTGTATCAGACTCTACCTTTTCAGTGCCAGTGACTATACAAGGACCAAAAGAAGTCTGAAAGAATTCAGCCATCTGAAGACATTTATGGTCTTCCAAAGAACCACCCACTTCTTTTTTTCTTAAAACCAGGTATAAATCAGTAGGTACATATTAAATCAATTCACTACAAACAGCAAAGGTGCACCAAATCAAGTACACTAATGCTACAGAGAAGTCTAGGAGCTGATTTTAAATGTCCTTCTTGTTCTTTTCAAAACTCACTTGCCCCAGAATCTCATTTATTCGCTAAATGCACGCAAGAAAACTTGTAGCCAGGCTAATATCTGATTTATGCCTACTAGATTTTTAATCATAGAAAGAATACTAATGTTCTAAGCCAGTAACAATTGAATTTTTCAAAATATTTTTATAATAAACATATCTAATGTTAAATCATAATTTTGTAAATACACTTAAAGCCTGCAAAAGGTAATGAAACATTCAATAAGCCAGAATCAGTGACAACACTGATAAATATATCAGAAACAAATAAAAGAAGATTTGAAACCAAAATCTCACTGAAAGATGATTTGATAAAAATTATTTTCTATATTTGCCTGTCTAGGTCTCTGCCTTTCCAGGGAAAGGAGGGAGCAACAAGTTTATACTAAAGAAGGGACTTCGACTGATAAAAGGTTGCTCTATTTCTTCTAAGCCCATCCCACCACAGAAGCCATACACGCTACAGACCTGGAAAACAGGAAGGCATAAGGGAGCATCAGTTGCCAGCCTGCATAGTGCTGCTCATGACACCTCTGACTGCCAGAGAGGCAAATAATTTTAAGAGAAGTGAGCTGAAAAAAGATATTTCAATAGAAACACCCCAAGTAGAGGTTACCACTGGCTGCATGGAGGCCTAAGATTTGAAAATTCTTTCCGTCAGTAATTTTGCTAGCTGCCAGACACCTCTCACTCCCTCTTTTTATATGCTACTGTGTTTGCTTTTCCCACACTAAAACACTGCTCAAACACCATCTGCAGTAGGACAGGTTCACCTCAATCTCTCAACCCTCAGATTCAGGGCCTCCCTTTAATATTCCCCCTACTTCATTTACTAGTCTGCAAGACCTCCTCTCCTAATCCACTCCTTATGAGCAGCCCATTACAGACTCGATTGAGGGTTAAATTTTGCCAGGTGTCAGGAGGACAGAAGCCTGAGAGTATCAGTGAACACACCCTCCTGCCGCTGCTCGGACGATTCGCCATGGCGAGGCAGCTCTAACGCGGCCTCCGGGCGCCGCGGCGCCGGCTGCCCGGGAACCGGCCCGCGGGCAGGGCCTGCCCTGAGGGCAGGGGGCATCGCCCGAGCGCGG